AAATACAGGAGGTTAAATCTTGCCACCTGTGCACAGAACAACTTCAAAGTATAATGTTGTATTGGTATTCTGGTTGTGTGGTGGTTACTTATTCTGTCTTTTCTTTTCCCTTTTTTTTCTTTTTTTTTTATCTAGTTATTGATAGTTTGTATGGTATTGTTAAACCTGTAATAAAGGTAATAAAAAAATAAAACTTCATTCAAAACATCCAGCTCTAGTGGGCGACATGCCTATGTTCTATTTTTCTGTTTTAAGCTCATTCTCAATCTTCAGACCCAAATGTCTCAAATTTGTTCATTTTCCTTTTCACACAAAAAGTCCAAAAGGGGTTCTCTAATTATTATAATAAATGTCAGCAATGGTTTTTCTCTAATCGAACACCTCAACTTTGCCTCCAATAACTTCAACAACCATGAAGATGGGTGGTAATTAAGGAAATGCAGCACAACCAAGGATCAATTAAGAACCCATGGAGGGAGGTGTGGGGGAGCCGAAGAATGTAGGATAAATGAAGATAACTGGAAAGTGGATGTATCAAATTATTAAAAATGAGGAAATACTTTTTTTAAAAAAAATCAACAAACATTCCTCAATCTTACACAATAATAAATGTTTCTGTTCTTTGTCCATATAAAGGGTCTCTCCGCTGTTTCCTATATTGGGGATCTTGATTCCATAGTACTTTTTCTTGTTTATGTATCCATTAATTTGCCATTCTCTTGTGAGTAGGCTCATGCGTGGTGGAAAAAGAGCCTTCTCCTTGTGCAAAAGGAATAAAAGGAAAGGAAAAGTTAACCCACTTGGAGGCATTACCGTCTTAAGAAAATTTAGGTAAAACGGGTTTTCAGTATATAATTAATTGCAAAAGAAATATTTGAAAAAAGAAAGAAAGACAAACTGCAAGGTCAGGTTGGAGACAGGTGGCCCCACCTAGGCCCAAAGTCACCCCCCCAATAATCACCCCAGGCCTCAAAACTGTCCAAAATTCCTTTTCTGTCTCTAAAAATCCACAGCTACAGCTTTTCTGTGGATTCTCACAAGATGCTGGTACATAGGCAAAATGTTATTCTTTTATCAGTACAAAACGGCTAATGAATAGACTCTGTCAGAGCAGGCCTGAGAGCTGACTTTTATCTCATTCAGTTGCAACATCTTTGGACATGCTGAACCGCTCTCATTCCCCTTTTCCTGGGAAGGGTGCCAAGAGTCCACAATAGTCCCAAGACAGGAGCTTTCTGTTCATGCTCAGAGGAACTCATGGGCAGGACTCTTGAAGAGGAGGAGAAAGGGGAGGGAACTGGAAGGGGAATATATACTCTGTGCAAATGACTGTGAACCCGTGCTTGTTTGTGAACTATCACACTTGCTCCTTCTACCAGTTCATGGATGGTAGAAAATAAAGCTTTTTCTCCGAAACTGTTCCTTGAGTGTCTGTTGACTCCCATCTCTCTTTCCCGGGCGCAATATTTTTCCCACCTGAGGGCAAAATTCCTCCAATTTCTTTCTTTCCTCCAAGAAAGGAATCCAATACCTTCCAATGGAGTCCGTTCTACTGTCAAACAACTCTTATCATCAGAAAAATAAGGCTACAAAATAAGGCTACAAAACTATTGCTTACCTGGTCCAGGGAGAGCAGAATAAGAAGCAATTGCTTCAACATCACCTTCCTCTTAGTTTACAGTTAAACATTAGGGGAAATGCTCCTAAGGACCTGCTCAGCATCTAATTTGAACAGGGCCTTTCTTTTTAACTGGGCAAGGGCTAAGGGGTCAAAAAACATTGACTTTGCCTGCTGTGTCACTGCCAGGCAATTGGAGACACAGGCCTTAATTTGCAGTTGAGGGGCTTAAAAAAGGAAAGTATTGTTCAATGATATTTTGTTGTGGACATTGCATATATTTCTTTAGGGATATTTACATACCAGCTGTCATGCTCACATTTCTAGGTGGTGTACAACAATGAAATACACGATACAAAATATACAATATCATTAAAAATTATTGAGTAAACCTGCTACAGAGACCTAGCGATCTGTAATTTGCAAAATTCCTCACGATTAACATCTGTATTTGGTTAAACATATAACCACATTGCACAAATAAAACAGCAACACAACGGTAAGCACTTTGTGAATCAAAAGCCACAAAATGAACTTTGCTGAACAAACAAATGTTCTTATTCCTCCTGTCTTGTGTTCATTAAATCTGACAGGAAATCAAATATCACCATCTGTGTACTTGCAATAAAAACACTGAAAACAGCTCTAAAGAGTACCACAGAAGTGCAGACTTAACTTTTATTTGCAAATGAACAAAAAAAAAGCTCAGTTTTACATAAGAATAGTATTAGAATTGTAGAGTTGGAAGTGACCCCTAGGATCATTTGGTCCATCCCTCTGCAAGGCAGGAATCTCAACTAAAGCATCTGTTAAGTTGTGGGTGAACATATCAGACGACACAGCGATTCTTCAAACAGCTCTTGTTTATTCACACACCAGAACAGAGCTGAACTGAAGGGTTCAGCCAGCCTGCTTATATAGAGCTCCACTAGAACGCAACAGTAACCATTTTCTGTAACTATCCAATCACTGGACGTCACTTTCGATCCCTTTATTTGCATATGTGGACCTGAACTATCTACAGTGTCCCCCTGCTGGCCCAGGGTGAGAACTTCAGTACATAACAGCATCCATGACAGATGATATCCAACCTCTGCTTAAAAACCTCCAAGAAAGGAATCTAATACCTTCCAATGGAGTCTGTTCTACTGTCAAACAACTCTTATCACCAGAAAAATCTTCCTTTCTTTTAAAGCCATTAGTTTAGTTCCTACCCTCCAGAGCAGGAGAAAACAAGCTTGCTCCATCTTCCATGTGGCAGCTCTTGAGATACAGTCATACCTTGGGTAACAAACGCTGCAGGTTGCATGTTTTCAGGTTGTGAACAGCACAGAACCCGGAAGTACTAGAACGGGTTACTTCTGGGTTTCGGCGCTCACACATGCGCAGAAGCGCAAAAATGACATCGCGCGCATGTGCAGAAGTGCCAAATCACATCACGCGCATGCACAGACGTGGCGCTTCTGGCTACAAACACTTCGGGTTGCGAACGTGCCTCCCGCACGGGTCGCGTTCGCAACCGGAGGTATGACTGTAATTGAAGATGACCATCATATCTCCTCTCAGTCTCCTCTTTTCTAGGCTAAACTTACCCAGCTCCTTCAACCGTTCCTCATAAGGCTTGGTTTCCAGACCCCTGACCATCTCGGTGGTCATCCTCATCTGCACATGTTCCAGCTTGTCCATATCCTTTTTAAATTGTGGCGCCCAGAACTGGACACAGGACTCCAGGTTTGGTCTGACCAAAACAGAATAGAAGGGTACCCGCAGACAGGATAGTTTATGATGTACTTTCCCATTCATCATTCACAACAGATTCAAATCCATTTAGAAATTTGATGCCTCTGTCATTATACTTCTTCTTCTTTTTTATTTACTGTTGTCTGAGTTACATGAAACATCTCATAAGTATCTGAGGAACAAGGCCAAGGGCTCAAATCCAGACTGCTTCCTTCAGAACATTTGAAGCCATAGAAAGCTATGCAATGTTTCTTGAATAGGGTCTCTGTTATCATGAAGCCTGAGTAATAATTTGTTCTTCTTTCTATCCCTCTCCTGCCAAAAGTGCCACAAACATCTGCTAACTCCTCATCCTCCTCATCCGTCAACACCTTGTCGTCATCCTCCAACATACCATATTGTTTATTTGATCACGGTATTTTGAAAAATCCAGCACCATCTTTGCTTAAAACAACTTCAAAAAAATAATGTAAGAATAATTTGTGTGTAAAATCACTAAGCCTACTCTGTACTGATTTTTTTTTTGGAGGGGGGAGACAAAAAGCAGCCAGGAATATGGAAGTCAGCCTCCCCATCTTCAGCAGCAGTTGGTGGGGTGGAGCAGACAGGTTGGGGTTGATCACCTGTCTTCTCAACACCTGTGTTAGCTTTCCCAAGTTTGGCACCAAGCCCCAGGGCCGGATTTAGGTTTGATGAGGCCCTAAGCTACTGAAGGTAATGGGGCCCTTTATGAGTCCAGCTGTCCTTTGTCAACAACCAATTGTCGCTGTTTTTTGTGTTGAATATATGGTAACTTATGGACCTAACAGGTATCTAAAGCCATTTGCACATGCAGAATGTAGGCACCCGATATATAGAAATGAGCAAACAAGTGATAATTGTGTGTGTAGTGTAGTGTAGTGGTTAAGAGCGGTAGTCTCGTAATCTGGGGAACCGGGTTCGCGTCTCCGCTCCTCCACATGCAGCTGCTGGGTGACCTTGGGCCAGTCACACTTCTTTGAAGTCTCTCAGCCCCACTCACCTCACAGAGTGTTTGTTGTGGGGGAGGAAGGGAAAGGAGAATGTTAGCAGCTTTGAGACTCCTTAAAGGGAGTGAAAGGCGGGATATCAAATCCAAACTCTTCTTCTGTGAGGGCGATCTGGCTGCGACATCTGTCACCCCATTGATCGCCAGGGTTGATTCGGCTGATCTGGCTGGCTAGGCGGGTGTCCCCTTCCTCCCTCACCGCTCCATGTGCGTCCCTCCCGAAGCTGCGCGCTCGGTGGAAGAGGACGACCATCCCAGATAGAAGGAGTGTACCGTTCTTCGGTCAAGGGTATACGATAGCTGCACTCCCCTGCTAGAACCTCCAATCCAAACTCCTCTTCTTCTTCTAATTTAGGGAGCAGGCTAGCATGACTTACATTATAGGAGCCTACGCAACACAAAACACTGTTGCTCTATGTAGGTTTTATTTTATTTGTTTTTTATCTTATATTTTGGAAGTGTACATTTCCAGGTTTTTTCCCCTTTAGTTTTTTGGGGACCCCCAAGAGAGTGGGGCCCTAAGCTATAGCTTGTTTAGCTTATACATGAGTCTGGCAGTGCCAAGCCCCCAAGCAAACAAGCTTGTTCCCGGAGAGTGTGGCACTCGCCGTCTCTTAAGCACAGCTGTGGAGTTTGCCAAAAAGATGATAGTTCAACTGGTGACTGACAATGCAAAACACTGGAAAGTCCCCACACCCCTGCTGGCTTTCTACCTGCACGATTGTTTTTGTAGTATAACTGACTTTATTGAGGGTTTGGTTTTTCTCGATGTCAAAGAAAGAAGGGGCAGAGTGGGGTGCCCTGACCTCCTTGCCCTGCTACCAAACTCGCACAACTGCTTACCCCGCTTTGCACACTGTCGGCTGGTGCCAAGAAGCTCTGTCAGCTGGGGCTCCTCCTAGCTCTCGGTGCAGCTGCCTCCAAATTTATATGCCTGGCTAATTCACCCTATAGGGACGCGGGTGGCGCTGTGGGTTAAACCACAGAGCCTTGAACTTGCCGATCAGAAGGTCAGTGGTTCGAATCCCCGTGACGGGGTGACCTCCTGTTGCTCGGTCCCTGCTCCTGCCCACCTAGCAGTTCGAAAGCACGTCAAAGTGCAAGTAGATAAATAGGTACCGCTCTGGCAGGAAGGTAAACGGCGTTTCCGTGCACTGCTCTGGTTCGCCAGAAGCGGCTTAGTCATGCTGGCCACATGACCCGGAAGCTGTACGCCAGCTCCCTCGGCCAATAAAGCGAGATGAGCGCCGCAACCCCAGAGTCGGCCACGACTGGACCTAATGGTCAGGGGTCCCTTTACCTTTATAATTCACCCTAGCTTCTGTAGGAGCCAAGAGGCGTGGCTCAAATTCAATCAGCTTGCTTTTCTTCCTGAGAGCCCTGTTTTATACACTCACATACCCTCCAACCTTTCTCCGATGAAAATAATAACAACAACAATAATAATAATAATAATAATAATAATAATAATAATAATAATTTATACCCCGCCCATCTGGCTGGGTTTCCCCAGCCACTCTGGGCGGCTTCCAACAAACACTAAAATACAATAACCTATTAAACATTAAAAGATTCCCTAAACAGGGCTGCCTTTAGATGTCTTCTAAAACTTTGGTAGTTATTTTTCTCTTTGACATCTGGCGGGAGGGCATTCCACATGGCGGGCGCCACTACCGAGAAGGCCCTCTGCCTGGTTCCCTGTAACTTGGCTTCTCGCAGCGACGGAACCACCAGAAGGCCCTCGGCGTTGGACCTCAGTGTCCACTGTCCCAGTTGAATAGGGATATCCTATTTATACCCCACCCAGCTGACTGGGTTGTCCCAGCCACTCTGGGTGGCTTCCAACATATATAAAAACATAATAAAACATTACACATGAAAAAAGCTTCCCTATACAGGGCTGCCTTCAGATGTCTTCTAAAGGTTGTATAGTTACTTATCTCCTTGGCTCAGGGGTCACATAACTCCACACCCTCCAACATCGAGAAAAAACAAACTCTGATGAAAATAGGGGAAAGCGGGACATTCTGGGATCAAATCAGAAACTGGGGTGGCTTCTGTAAATCTGGGGCTGTCTCTGGAAAACAGGAACACTTGCAAGGTCTGCACTCTTAGTAACGCTACTGAAAAAAGCTAACTAGTTTTTACTTTATTTCTGTTTTATTTACTGGCAAGAGCACACTTTAAAAAGTGCCAGTTACCCTATGCAGTCTCAACCTGTGGGTCCCCAGATGTTGTTGGACTACAACTCCCATCATCCCTGAGCTCTGGCCTTGCTAGCTAGGGGTGATGGGGTTGTAGTTCAACAACATCTAGAGACCCACATGTTGAGAAAGGCTGTCAGTGTGTGCTACCTTACACTCTACCTCAAGTAGCCTAGATTTTAGACATCTTAAATCTGCACCTACAGCTGAAACTTCCAGCTGCGCCCCCCCCCCCACTGACAACAGCTTAATCTTTATAATCTAGGAAAACAGAGTCTTTGGGGTTTGTGGATTTTGAAAGAAGGCTGAGACTGCCCTTTTAAAAAACTAAGTCACCTGAGTTATGTTATGCCAGCACCATCTGCTGGATATTAGAGGAAGAACCAGCTCATAGTTGTTATTTGGTCAAGTACTCCCTGCTCCCCAAAATCAGGATAAAAAACTCCAGGCTTGGTTGAGAAAGTGGGGGGAGGTCCATGCATGGGGAGGATCTCAAGTTCTGAGTTTAAGTCCTGGCTGCCAGTTGCAAAAGAACAAGAACTCAGAGGAGGATTCTTTTCAAAGCCTTTAATGTTGATTGGTGGTCTGCATATGGAAATTGCTAATCTAAGGCACAGCAGGCAAGACACAGTTAATGGAAGGCACAGAAAGGCAGGTGATCTAAGTAATCAAAACTTACGAGGCTGGTATCACCTTAGCACAGCAACTGGTTCCACTCCTTAGCCAAGGAATCTAGCACAGTGTTTCCCAACCACTGTTCCGCGGCACACTAATGTGCCACGAGATGTTGCCTGGTGTGCCGCGGGAAAAATTAAAAAATTGAAAGATTTTTTTTTAAAAAAAGTCAAATTTTCGATTGGGGCGCCGTCACTAGATGACCCCTGGGGTTCCCTCCCTCCCTCCCGCTCTGCGCCTCCCTCCTCCTCCTCCGGGGAGGCCCTTCCTGGCTCTCGGCCAAGGCTTGGCGGCTGCCACTCAATCACTCACTCGCCCACCCGTCCCTCCATCCCTGCACCCGGCCTCTCCCCCTCCGTCCCCGGCGCGGGGGCTGCCGGGATCCGTAGTCCCCTCGCCCTTGAGCTCCGCGCCCGCGCGGGGTGCGCAAACTACGTTTCCCAGTGTGGCCTGGCGGGCCGGGCGTTTTGTTTGAAGCGCTCTTCTCCCGGCCATGGAATGAGCGCGGCGGCGGCGGCCGGGCGGGCAGGGGCTCTTCCGCGCAGACCCCGCGCAGCCTGCCTGCGCCCCCGCGGAGATCGGGCGGCAGGATGGAGGCCGGGGATCCCCGCGGAGGCGGAGGCTGCCCCCCAGGTAGGGCTGCGTCGGGGGGGGGGTTTATTTTTGCAATGCTGCATCCGCGCCGGAGGGGACGCATCGGACCGTGGGGAGACCCCTTGGCGTGCGTGCAAGGCAATGCATGCGTGCAGGCATTGCATGGAGTGCAGTGCAATGCAATGGCAACGCGGCGCCCTGCATGCATGCATGCAACTTCCACCGGCGCTCCAGACTTGGCAGGTGAGGGGGGTCCCCAGTGGGCGGCAGAGAGAGCCGGGAGGGCGAAGGGGAGCCAGGGGGAGCAGCGCTGCTCCCCGAGCCGAGCCCGGGGAAACTTCGGCGTCGTTGCGCCGGGTGTTGGAAGCGGAGGCTGGCGGGGGCCCCTCACCTGCAAAACCTGGTCGCCTCTCATATATTTCGTGCATTGCATTCATCGCCCGCTTTCTCCTCCAAGGAGCTCCCGGGGGCGCGCGTGGTTCTCCCCGTGTTATCCTCGCAACAACAGCCCTGCGAGGTGGGTCAGGCGAGTGGCCCAAGGGAGCACCCAGGGATTGTCCTGGCCAGGTGGGGTGATTTGAACCCTGCTCTCTGCCCGGTCTTCGTCCTCATTTAGCCCCCACATGTGCATGACTGTGCATGACTGAGGTTTTCCCCCCTCGTCTTGGCTATGGTGTGAGTCTGTGCTGTTAATTAATGGGGTTCTGCCTTCGGAGAAGATGAGCCAGCCCTCAAGGAGGTGATTATGTAATTTGCTAGCAATTCATGTCCCTCCCGGCGTGACGCTGCGCGCTGACATCACGGGGCTGTAATGGTGGTGTGCCTCGAGATTTTTTTCATGAAACAAGTGTGCCTTTGCCCAAAAAAGGTTGGGAAACACTGATCTAGCACA